TTATGCATCAGAGAGTTGGACAATGACTAGGGAGGACAGAAGGAGAGTGGATGCTTTTGAGCTGTGGTGCTGGAGAAGGGTACTGAATGTACCATGGACTGCCAGGAAAATAAACAGATTCATCTTGGAGAGGATTAAACCAAGCTACTCCTTGGAGGCAAGGATTCTGGGGCTTCGTCTGACATACTTTGGACATGTTGCCAGGAGGGACGGGTCCTTGGAGAGGGACATCATGCTTGGGAGGGTGGAGGGACAGCGCAGGAGGGGAAGACCCTCTATGAGATGGATTGATTCGGTGACTGGGGTAATCGGGATGGGTGTGTCAGAGGCGGTGCGGTTGGCGCAGGATAGAGCAGGGTTTAGGGCTGTTGTGCATAGGGTCGCTATGAGTCGGAAACAACTCAACGGCACATAACAACAACAAACAGCTCCTTGGAAGCAAGGATTCTGAAGCTTCATCTAACATATTTTGGACACATTGCAAGGAAGGACCAGTCCTTGGAGAGGGACATCATGCTTGGGAGAGTGGAGGGATAGTGCAGGAGAGAAAGACCCTCGATGAGATGGACTGATTCAGTGACTAGGGGATTCAGTCAGAGATGGTGAGATTGGCACAGGATAGGACAGAATTTAGGGCTGTTGTACATAGGGTCACTAGAAGTTGCAGGCACATTATGGCACATAACAACAACAACAGCAATACAGGAAAAGTACAATGTTACAAAACATTAACTTGGTGAATTTGAAGACACAACAATGAAAATAAAATAAACAGAAGAACACAGAAGAGTAAACATATAGTAACAAAGCCCCTGTGATGTAAAGGAGAATGTTTAGGGGAATGATAAACATGTAGACTTGTAGCCTACATGGAATGACAGGATCCAGATTAATCTATGGTCTAAAACAAAGTGAGGCGAACCACAAACAAAAACAAAATACATGGAATTTTTCTCAAGATATTGATTATAAGTATAGTGTGTTATGTGGTGTACTGTTAATCTTTTTTTTTTTTTTTACTGTTAATCTTTTGATCCCACTAACGGCACCAGAAAAATGAGTGTAAAGATTTACAGCCTTAGAAACTTGAAGAAGGCTAATTATAAATAGGAATCAACTTGATAGTAATGGACTGTAGTATGCAGCTGCTGTAATAAAAACAGCTTGGTTCTAAGCAAGCAACAAATGCTGGTGAGGTTGTGGAGAGACTGGAACCCTTATTCACTGTTGGTGGGAGTGTAAAATGGTGCAGCCACTATAGAAGGCGGTATGGCGCTTTCTCAAAAAGTTGCAAATAAGAGATACCATTTGACCCAGCAATTCCACTACTGGGAATATATCCCAAAGAGACCATAACTGACATCCAAGCAGATATATGCACACCCATGTTTATCGTGGCTTTGCTCACAGTAGTAAGGAGCTGGAAACAACCTAAATGCCCATCAACAAATGAATGGATAAAGAAGCTGTGGTATGTTCACACAATGGAATACTACGCTGCATTGAAAAACAAGGAACTCATGCAATATTATTCAAAATGGGTGACCCTAAAGGACATTATGCCTAGTGAAATTTTTCAGTCACAAAAGGACAAACACTGCATAGTGCCACTGAATGGGACTGACAACAGGGTTGGGGTAAGAATGAGAAAAACTGCATAAATTATGTATACGGCATTGAAATGGATGAGGGAGAGAACAGTTTAAAAACAATATATTACAGAGTATTATGATTATCTTAAGAGTCTGGAATGAAGGTTGCAGAATGGAGTATACTCAGGGAGGGAGTGCGGGGATTGTATACCAATGAAGGGATTTTTCTTTTACTTTTCAAAGAAGCGAGAACTGGGGTGGAGGCGGGGGGGGGGGTTGCGGTGAGAAAAGTGCAACTATGAATGAATGGAAACCCAAAATCTCCATAAATGTTCATTAAAATTAATTTTAAAAACCTTAAAAAATAAAAAACCCACAGCCTGGTTCTAATATTAGTAATAGACACATAGAGCAAAGGAATACAGTTCAGGAAAAAGCTCATACCTTTGATGGTCAACATTCTCCTCCAGGAATGTTAAGTCCACTCATAAGTGAAAAAGAATCACTTTAATAAATGGTGCTGGAAAAATTGAGCTTTCATGTACAGAAATTTAATAAGGACCCTTTCCTCACACTATGGAAAAAAATGGATTAAGGACCTAAATGTGCAAACTAAAACTATTAAATTATGTGGTTTTTTTTTTTAGATTTTGATGAAAGTTTATAGAGAATGTGAATTCCCATTCATTCATTGTTGCGCCTTTTCCTCCCTGTCCCTGATCCCCCTCAGTTCACATTTTACTTTGGAAAAAAAATTCTTAAAAGAACAAAAAGAGACAACCCTCTCAGAACAAACTTATAGCAACAGATTATATAAGAACAAAAACACAAAAAGTAAAGTACAAAATAAATGGAGCCTCATAAAATATAAAAACTTCTATTTCTAAAAAAAAAAAAGTACCAAAATCCATTGCCATCAGGTCAATTCCAATTCATAACAACTCTTTAGAATAGAGCAGAAATGTCATGAAACAGTCTTCAAGACTATAAATCTTTACAAAAGTAAACTGCGCCATCTTTCTCCCAAGGACTGTCTGGTAAGTTCAACCA